GGGGGCTGGGGAGGGACCTGAAGTTCTTTTTTTCTCCCCTGCAGTTCCTCCAGGCACCCAGTCAGGGTCCAGCGTGAAGGCGATACAAACTTGTGCTTTTGCAAAGAGAAAAGAGCTGAGAGAAGAGAAGGACCAAGAGCCGAACGTGAATAAACGAGTCAAGAGTGCAGTCTTAGCATATTAGAAGTGATGCTCCCAAGTTTCTGATGCTTAAGTTTGTAAATCTACTGCCATCATTTTTCTTTGTCTGTTGCTCTCGTGTCTTCTTTGCACATTTCAGAACGATGGCCATGTTAAGTCTATTATAACAAAAATAACGAAGAACCTTGTGGTAGTTAAAATTGAGAAGTTTTATTTGACATAAGCTTTTATGAGCTGCAGCCCACTTTTTCAGATCCATTGAGCATACAGTAGTTTCAGTAGAGAAACATATTGTAGTGAGTTGGACACTGTAGTGACTGGGCACACACACGCCCAGGAGAAATGTGCGGCTGTATCAACAGCTTCGTGGCAAATTTACAACAAAGGGAGAATAAAAAGTACGTATAACATTGCTGAGGAAGTGCTTGTCTAATAGTATTGCTGTCTATAAAATTAGACATTAAAGGTTTCCTAGGGCCAAGGTCAACATTCTTCCCATTGGTTCCATGCACACTAATCTATGCTTTTTAAAATTAAATTCTATAGCAGAACCCATTATCAGAGCTTTGACTATTCTTACATTTTTGAAATGAAAAACAATGGATGAAATTCTGTTGCATAGTTCTGTATGCACAACAGTGATGCTGTCAGTATCACCAGCAAATTGCCAGTTTAAAGGTGACTTTTTGCAATTTGGGGGCACATGTGACTTTGTCACATTGTGTACAATTCGCATGCACCCCAAATCACCTTTAATAATCAACTTGTCTTAAATCTGCAGTAAATTGCTGCTGATTTTAACACCATCCCCATTTTAACATCATCCCCACACAGGAACTTGTGCAACAGAATTTTAGACATCAGATTCTTAATAGTAAAAAAGATACTGTGGCTTCCTTCAGGAAGTCAATCCATCTTTTTTTAATCTTCCTCTATTCCTGCTGCCTTCAACTTTTCCTAACATTATTTTCTTTTCTAGAGAATCTTGCCTTCTCATGATATGCCCAAAGTAGGACAGCCTTCGTTTTGTCATTTTTGCCTCCAGATATAATTCAGGCATTATTAGATCTAGGGCCTGCTTATGGCAGTCTAAAGGGTCTGTAAAGTTCTCCATCAAATTGCATATGAATCACTTTTTTCCCATCAGCATTCTTCACTGTCCAGCTTTCACACCTGCATGTAGCAATCAGTAATAGTGTGGATGATTCTGGTATTTGTCTCCAGTGATGCATCCATAAATTTGGTCTTTTCTAATTCCTTCATTGTTCCTGCATCTTTGTCTTCTTCTGATGTCTTGGTGGCAATCTCCCTTTAGATTGATGATTGAACCAAAGGTATACAAAATCTTTCACTATTTCAGTTTCTTCATTTTCCACATTAAATTTATGTGACTCTTGTAATCATGATTTTCATCTTCTTAGTGCTCAACTCCAGTCCTGCTTTGTCACTTTCTTTTTTAACTTTCATCAGAGGTTGTTTTAAGTCACTCCTGCTTTCTGCCAATGCTCATTCCTCCTTCATCAGAATTTAGTACAGTTTTCTGTATGATATCCTCTGCGTACAGATTGAATAGGTGAATGGATAAAGTGCATAGGTAAAGGGATAAACCTCTAAAAATAGCTTTTTAGAGGTTTATCCCTGCATAACCCAATACAGGTTATGCAGCAGAGCAATGGAGTGTTGAGGCACACCCATTTATAATTTCTCATGATCCACATAGTAAAAAGCTTTATTGTAGTCTATAAAGCATAAATTGGTTTTCTTCTGAAATTCTTTGGTGCACTCCAGTAGCCAGCGGATATTTGCAATATGAGCCAAGTGCCTCTTTCTTCCTGGAATCCAGCTTGAACATCAGGCATTCCTTGTTTCATATAGGGCAGGACAGCTGATAACCCAAGAAAATTAAACTGGATCACTAGTAAAACATGAAGGAGTGAAGTCTGACCAGCAGAAGCACAGCTATAGGGAAACATAATCAAATGATACAGCAACAAAGTAAACAGATCAGCACATAGCAAGATGGTACTGGGATCCACAAAAAGCAGGGTGGGGGGAAAGGAAATACACTACCGCCAGGAAAAACTTGGAAAGTAAGGGTTTTTTGTCCTGCTTTGATTCTGTTTACACCAGTTTCAGTATTGCATTGTATGGACAACAGGATGAGTATCAGTATTAAGGATGCAAGGAAAGTTGAAGAACTGCTCAGTGTGGAGGAGACCTCAGAGTGCTGCTGCAAACAGTACTAAAGTGAGGGTTCAGGATGCGAATGTCTGTTGTGGCCCAGTGAACCACAAGTTCAGCTTCTCTGATTGTATTTTTATTGTATTTTTAATTTTTTTAAAAAAAATATCCAGAGGTTATTCAGGTATGTGAAAAGATTGCACTGTCGTAACATGTGAAAGGCACGCAATTTTGTGGCTGATGTTATTTTGCATGGAATGAACATTATTTTCCAGAGTAACATTCCCACTTGAAATATTTGCAAAGTTGCATGTCAGGAACCATAGTACTAGGATGGCCTGTTGCAAACTTTTGAGAAAGAAAACTAAGAGAAAGGAAGGGTTCTCAGCATTCCCCCCCCATAGTTTGTACAGTATCTCTTACTGTTCAGGAGGTGAAGTAATCTAGGTATGTCAACATTATTTCTTCCGAAGAAACTGCAGTTTTGTGGCTACACACGAAATTGCAGGCTTTATATGTAACACTTAAACAATGTTTGTGAAGTAAAACGAAGGGAAAAAACATTCTTTTTAAAACTATGCTTCTTTGTCAGAGAAAGTATACTATGTGAATGATAATACGAAGAACATCATTATGACATTTAGCAGGAATTAAATCTGTACCACAAGTGAAATCCATCAATAGACAGGATTCATCCCACACAGTAGCCATAACCTAAAATTAGGCAATGTGTTTGCATGTGCATGTACACACCTTCTCTTTTACTGGCATCTGACTAGACTGATCTTTGTGCAATCTGTTTGTGCTTATGTGGTGTGTTATATACACATCTATAGCAGGTTGGACAACTTTTTTTTAAGCCAAGGGTCACATCTTAGGAGGCAAGAGCCACATACAGATTCCCAGATAATGAAACTGCTGCATGATGGTGGAACCAAAAGTAGAGGAGCTTACTTCATTTCTCTCTCTTTTCTGTCTTCCCCTCTACTGCTCACTTTTTATCTCTCAGCCCCAACCTACTAGTTTGGGACCTGACCTGTTCTCTTACGGGTGGCTTTTTAATTCAGATCAATATAGGCCACAGATGGGTTGCCCATCCTTGCCTTCTGGCGTATGTATGTGTATAAGCCTCCCTTTTCAGGCTGTGTAAAGGGGAAGAGATAAAGATTTCAACTGCTTTGGCACAATTCTGTGAGCTCTCTGGCTGAAGCACAAATGGACAGATTATTCTGTGGGTTCCTTTTTTTATTTCAACACAGAATATTGCATTGATTTTTAATGTTCTTGAATGACTAGAATAAAATATTGGCAAAATATGCAATGCACTCAATTATAACCAATATCTGTAAAACAAACAAAAAAAAAAACCAGATCATTTAGTGGTTGAACAAAATAACTTAGAACTAAAAGAAAATTATTTCAAAATGGATTCCCTTTGCCCACTCCAACTACTGCTATGAGCAATCCCGTCAGCTCCTATATTTTCCTGTGACTTGCTTTGTAAATGGATATTCAGATCTGTACAGTGTAATGTCAACTTGCATTAACTCTTTGGCAATGAGAAGTGCTCATTATTCAGACTGTGTTTCTACTGGCATGTCTTATTTATGCTTCAGCTTTTACGTATATATAGGGTTTGATATATCAATTCCTTTGGAAGATTCAGCGGTTTTGAGCAATTTTTTGTTCAAATGTCCTTTAAAAAGGACAATGGAAATTTAGCATTTAATAGTGTGAGTGCAAGCAGAGCATTATTTTTAGAGTTAGTATTTAAGATTTATACAGTTTATAGGAAGGCAATATTACAGCTTAGTATAAATCAATAAATCTTTAATGGGTTCAATGCCTATCATTGACTAAGGGGATCTGGTGTCTAGTCTACCTTTAGGATGATAAGATTTGTTCTGGGAGGCTTGCCCTCTTCAGAAAAGATAAGAAACTGATAGCAAAAGGGGAAAAAAATATTGCACCAAGAAAATTGTTTCTTCAGTGGTTAGCAAAATGGATTTGGAGAACCGTATCTTGCTGTTTGCTCTCAGAAAGATCCACATCTGCTATAATTATTAGCCCAACAGATTAGTGTAATCAGTAAAATTATAATTAAGGACTACATTTATGTTTCTCACTGTTTTGCCACTTCATTTGCTGCTCAGTGGATCTAGTGAAAAGTGCCTGGTTTGAGGTGATGCCAAACTATATGGTAATTCTGTCTGAGACTTATTCTGTTACAGATGTTTCATGCATGCAAATAATAATGTTATTTTGTTGACATCACCATATGATGCCAAGGTAACAGATAGTATATCTTTTCATGGTGTTATGTTAAATAATACTCAAATAGGCACAGCTTTCCTCTCACTGACACGAGCCTTTGTCCCTAACAACTTTTCTGGTGATAAGGTAGTACTTCTGCTGGATCAAATATTAGGTATGTTTCAAAAGTCAAATATATGTATGTATTACATATTCAAAGGAAAATCAGCAGAATTACTGATATTATATGTCAAGGTTGATATCACCCAGACCCCCCAAAAAAATATTAACATCTTTTTTGGAAAAGGGAAGGGGGGAAAAGCCGGACTGCTCACCTGTAAAGTTTGTTCTTCAGGTGATCTGCTGTGAATTCATACTAATAGTCTGTGTCTATAGCCATCCCTTTGGAACTTTCTATGTGGAGAGACAGTTTTGATAATAGCCTTGCCCTCTACAGGTGCTGATTAACTATAGTTAAAAAATTTGGACAACACAGTGGCAGAGCTTTAGTTGCCAGGATGTGCTAGAGAGGGAAGGAAGAGGAGTTCATGGGAATGCACAGATGGCCACCCAAACATCATAGCAGAGCAACCTTTTATCTTCTTTGTTGTTGCTATACATTTGTGTTAAGGTGTGAAGAATAGCAAAGCTAAGAAGGCAGTAGGGCAAAGCAGAGAGAACTGCTCTTCCAAAGGAAATGTCTCTCTGACATCTTGTATCCAGATGATAGTGGCAGATGAAAGTGGATGGCTGAGAACAGGTCACTTTTCTACACAACTCAGGTAAGCAGCCGCTGCGCCCCCGCCCTCCCACAAAGCTGGCTACAGGCCTGGTAGAATTGCTTCTGGGTGTTAGGCAGAGATTTCTTGGGCAATCAGTAAGTCAGGGTAATTGTTTTCATGATCTACTTAGCAAATCTTTGAGTTGTACAGAATTGAGTGCCTGGTATAAACAGCTGGAGTCAGACTAACAGACAAATGGCTCTTGAGTAATGTGGTGATTTTCATTATTCCACTATAGCACCATTTGGGGCAAGATTCTGTTGAAGACAAAATGGGTGCCTATAAGTACCACATATATTAAACTTGAATTTCCTTTGTTCAGTGAAAGGTTCATAGTAGAAGTAGCTTTAGCTTTTCTGTCATAATGATAAATTATTAGTTTTGCTTGGTGCACATAACTGTTACTCCAAACCATTTCTTGTACAACAGGAATGTACAGTACTGGACATGTTTATACACACATACAAACAAACACAGACATCCAAACAGAGATAAGACTGCAAATCAGCTTGTTTATCCAAATAGCAAGCTATTCCTTGCAGAGTATTATGAGCGACCGAGTAAGTGCCTCCGTATTGTATACTGCACAGTAACAGGCAATACTGCAAGAGCCACATGAAATGGCCAGGTGGGCCGGATTTGGCCCACAGGCCTTGAATTTGATATGTGCCATACACAGAATGATTTCTGCACATTTAGAAAGCCAAGCAAAGAGAAACTTCAGTGGTTGAATGACTTTGCTAAACATGATATTCCACAGTATATCTAGCATTTATGAACAAAGATACTGATTCTTGTACAATTTTTACATGGAAGAATCAAGTACTCTAGGCTTTTTTCATATGAATAAATCTGTTCTTAATGTGTACTTGCATATAGATTGTTAGAGGAAAGCTAAAATGGATTACACTTTTATTAATTACTTAGCTATAGCTATTAGTTACATTAATATTTCTCTTCTATTGGCACATTTTGCTCTTCTTCACACTTTATCCTCCAACAGTTCTCTGAAGTAGGTCAAGCTAACAAAGAATGCTGGACCCCTGTATGTTTCATGGCACCAGAAAGGATAGAATCTAAAGTCTTTAATGTTTGAAAACAGCCACTGCTCAGACCCAGATGGGTGGTGGTGATTTTCAGACATTTAAGAGTCCTTACCATCCTGAGGCCCCCAAAGGCTTCCCCAGGTGAAAAGGATCCCTGGGGAGCCTTGGAGCCTTGCAGGAGAAAGAATCAGAAAATTTAAATTTCTAATTAAAGGCAGCAGCTAATCACATCACCAGTTTTTCACATGCAGATCTGCACCAAGAGTAGCATCTCAACCTCTGAGACCCTACACTATGTCACGTTTAAGATGTCTCTGTAGCATTACTAAAATATGTGTATTATTCTAATACATTTTTTCTATTAGCTTACACATAGGTGTAGTATTAATGTTAATCAGGTCTTAACTATTACCCATCTCCTTTTGTTTATATTTTAACACTCCCACCCTTCTTCTGAAGGCGTGTTCTTGTTGGTTCAGTCATTACCAGCGGCTCTTGGATAACAATTGCTGGATAATTTTTGCCTAACAGTTCAACTTCCAATTTCTGTCCAGCTTTGCTGAGTTCCAAAGGGACATATGCAAAAGCCAGACTCCGCTGAGTACTATAGCTGTAACATCCCGATGTGGTGTTGCCAATAACCTGAAAAATTATTCAAATATCAACATGTTTAAATACAAGAAAATACAATTCAGTTTGTGTTAATAAATACAGTGGTGCCTCGCTTTACAATCGCTTTGTAAAACGACGAAATCACATAACGATGAACTTTTTGTGATCGCTTTTGCGATTGCAAAACGATGTTTCCTATGGGGGAAATTCGTTTTGTGATGATCAGTTCCCTGCTTCGGGAACCGATTCTTTGCAAAACAACGATTTTCCAACAGCTGATCGGCGGTTTCAAAATGAACGGCAGGTAAACAAAATGCCCCCCTGCTGTTTTCTGGGACAGATTCCTCGCAAGACAGGCAGCGAAAATGTTCGCCCTATGGAGGATCTTTGCTGGACGGTAAGTTTTAAGCCCACCGGAACGCATTAAACAGGTTTTAATGCATTTCTATGGGCTTTTTAATTTTGCTTTACGATGTTTTCGTTCTACAGCGATTTCACTGGAATGAATTAACATCGTAATGCGAGGCACCACTGTATTTAACTTCTTAAACAAGCAATAGATTGTGCAATATGATTGTATGCATCAGAAAAGTCTCAGAATGTCCCAACACAGACAGTGAGTAGTGCCTTACTTTTCACTGGGTGAGTATATCCAGAGCAAAAGATATTGACTACCATATGGTAATCCATGCTTTGAACATAAATTCAAGTATCCTCAAAAGTATATTACATTCTCTAAATGACAACTACAGCTTTTAAAGTATCCCCATTCTAAAATACCATTTAGCCACACTCTCCTTCCAGTGTAATGGAAAGCTATTGATTGAATACAAAATGCCCAGAGCTATGAAAAAGTTAAGTGTGAACCTTTGCCTGAACAACTTTCACAAAATATTTTAAACCTATTCAAACACACACATATTTCACAACAATCTCTCTAGACTGAGAGTGAAGACCAAAGTCCAGCTGAAATGCATGCAGGACTTCCTCTTTGCCAATGATGCAGCTGTTGTTGCTCACTCTGCTGAAGACCAACAACGCATGAATCGTTTTAGCAAGGCCTGCCAAGACTGGATTAACAATCAGCCTGAAGAAAACATAAGTTCAGGGCGTGGACTCACCTTCCTTTATTACCATCTCCACAGAAAAATTGGAGGTTGTTCATGACTTTGTGTACCTTGGCTCAACGATCTCTGACACTGTCTCCCTAGATGTTGAGCTGGATAAACGCATTGGCAAAGCAGCTGCCATGTTCTCTAGACCCACAAAGAGAGTATCTTTTATACCAAGATCCAGGTCTATAGAGCCTGTGTTCTGAGCACACTCCTGTACTGCAGTGAGTCCTGGACACTTTGTGCATGGCAGGAGAGGAAGCTGAACACGTTCCATATGCGTTGTCTCTGACGCATTTTTGTTATCACCTAGCAGGACAAAGTTCCAAGTCCTAGAATGACTTGGAATTTTTAGCATGTATACATTACTGAAACAGCAACATCTACGTTGGCTTGGGTGTGTTGTGAGAATGGCAGATGGTCGGATTCCAAAAGATCTCCTGTATGGAGAATTAGTGCAGGGAAATCACCCCAGAGGGAGACCACAGCTGCGATACAAGGATATCTGCAAGAGGGATCTGAAGGCCTCAGGAATGGACCTCAACAGATGGGAAACTTTGACATCTATGGCTTCTCCCATTTTGAAGAGACCCTTGTCCAGCAGGCTGAGGCAAAGAGGCAGTCAAGCAAAATCAGGAAGCTGGACAGGGGACAGAGTGTATTTGTCTTCAGTGTGAAAGGGATTGTCACTCTCGAACTGGCCTTCTCAGCCACACTAGACTCTGTTCCAAGTCCTCCATACAGAGCATGTTACCATAGTCTCTCAAGACTGAAGGATGCCTAATTCAAACAGGTATTTGGAAGAACCCGAGAAATCAAGTGCAAACAATGATGGCTCCATTATGTGGTATGAACAATTAGTCTTAGAAGCCCAGCAGAGAGCTACCTGACATGCTGCCAGGACACACTTTTTTGGGTTAGCCTTTTCTGTTGCCATGAGCACAAATACACGGCTATTTTAAAATCTTTTCATTTTATATTCATTTGGGCAAACACATGGTGATGTTTAAAACTCTGTATGACTATTTAACAGCATATTCAAATTATCTTGCATTTTGGGGAACACACAATATGCTTCAGTTATTTGAAATAAGATCTACACTACTTGCCTTGCCATTATGCCAGACACTTTCATTTCCCTCTGGATCAATGTTATCTGTTTCCAAGGTGAGATACACGAGTTGCCGTTCAAGCCCCTTTTCTTTAATCTGCTTCACTGCCTCCTTTCCTATGAAATCTGCTGGCTAGGAAAGGGAAGAGATAACGATGATAAATGATTAGACAGACTCTGTGACAAGGTTATAAATGCAAGCATTTACATTTGCCTTTACTTGTTTTCTTGTCAATTAACCTTTATATAAGAATACCAATTAAATCAAATTTGTGTGATTTTTGTATTGGTCTTGTCCATAAAGTAGACATGCTCGTTTCATCTCATGTTTTCCTATATCTGTGACATTTATGATTTATATACTTTATTTTAAAAAAGAGTTCATATTGGAAGAATTATGTGGTTTCCTTTTGGCATTTTACTTGGAGAACAGTTTGCAGAACATCTGAGACAAAATTTACTGAAAGAACACAAAGAACTATTTCCTTTAAAAATTTCACCAGAGGAAGCAGAAATTTTACTTATCAGCTATTTTGTGAAGCCCACAAACATGTAATAAATAGAAGGGACTGGGGAAGGTCACAGGTATGTTGAATTTCCTTGGCATAGAGAAAATCTGAGTTTTCTCCCCCTTGGAATCGTTGATGTAAAAGAAACTGAGCTCATAGAGATAGTCTACAGCTGAACTAATACAAAAAGTATCATGGCTAGAAAACCAATGCCTTCTCTACATTCAGCTGGATGGACTAAGGGTATAAACTGGTATAGGACAGCTCCCTGTTGCCTCAAGACATGGAGATGATTATGAGTTTAAATGATTTTATAAACAACGTTGGTAAAAACATGCAGGTTATGTCTGTCAACTGTTATAAGCTATGATCACAGCAAAACAGAAACTAAACGACTTGCAATCTCTCTTTTTCAGGGCCAGCCCTACCATTAGGTAGCATGAAGTAGTTGCATCAGACAGCAGATGTTGGGATAAGGCAGCAGTTCCCCATTATTTCACCACTTAGTTTAATCCCCCAAACTAGCCTATTGTGTCTTAACTGTGAGAAACAAATATCTCCCATTTTCATGAAAAAGACAGATTCAGCTGTGCTTACGTGGAATGGGCGGAGACAAACTTGTTTTTTTCCTACAGGCAGCAAAATACCTGGGGCCTTTTCCTCTACCTGTATGAGCAAGTCACATGGCCCATAAAGCTTTCTCCTCCAACATATACTATATTTTTTCCAGATACCCCTATCTGTAGACCACAGTCATCAACTTTTAGAACTGCAGTCAGTCTTATTATGACAGTTGCTATGGTACAGCAATCTCTTAAGTTCCACAGGGTGACCTATGAGGCACAGAGGAGGTCTCATGACCCATAAAACTCTTCCCTTCAACACCTTGCCCTACAGCCATTCCCACATCTACCACCGAAGACAGCTGCCTTTCGTACCTAGAGCTTACCCAGTTATTGTCAAGAAGACCTTTGTGTATAAATTCAACCAGAACCAGATTGAGACAAAGATTTGACCACCTTTCACTCCCCTTCATTCCCTTACTCTGGAGTTTAAGGCCCATTCTCTCTGTGTGTGGAAAAAATATAGTTCATCCTGCAACTTGGGGGGTTGTCGTTTTCCATAGATAAACAATGCTACGAAAAGGAGAAGGTCTTGCTTTGTTCTTCCTGAAGTCTGTCTCCTCCTTACACTCATTTAAGAATCTTTGTTCTGCTAAGTACCAGAGGTTAGAATTTGAAAAATCATGGATGGGCAACCAGCTGGTCAGGAAAAAATATAGTGAAAACCGCATATTATATACTCAAAACTGGGGCTAGTTATATGCTTTGTTCACTATATTAAACCCTAATTTTAACTGCAATAAGAAATACTTTATATTAATTTGAGGGAATTATTGGACAGATATTTGTCACACAGTTTGTGTTGTGTTCCTCACTATTCCTTTCAGTAGTTATTGTGTCAACTACATCATAAGTATATATATATAACACTTATGTGCATATATAACACTTGTGTACTGTATTATGAAACATTGCAGTATTTGCTTCCTGTCATGGTGGCTAACAGAGGATTTATGGGCAGGATCGGGGTGAGGACGAAGACTGTGATAATGGAAGAAAAGGATGAGAAGGAAAGGGAGTCTGTATTATATGTGGACATTTGATAGACACTTTCGTATGATAACAAACATTTCCATCTGTATGACAACAATTTAATTGTCAGAGTACAGTACAGAAAAATTTGCATCAATCTGAAACACGTGCTGTATTTCCTCAGTTTGCCTTTACAAGCTATTATAAAACTCTACCTATAGAAGACACATATGCATTTTAACCACTACTGGTCTCCCTAGTGCTTACTCTTCAAAATCATTCATTCAGCTCTTACAAATCTATCATTTGTAAATAGAAAACACAGTTTGCATGAAGGTTAATGCACCAGTCATAATTGGAGCCTTGAGAATGATCTGGCAACAGATGTGATGTGCTTTAGTGGGTCACTTCTGGATTAATTGCATAGAAGGCTATTAACTTCTGTAAATATGTAAACAGAGAGTCAGCTAAAATAATTTTGATTTGTCTTAGCTTTGAACTTTTTTCACAAATTGATTTCTGCAAGAAAATTTATATACATAATATCAAGTATTTAACAATAACAACAAAAGAACAGTTTAAGCTGTGGGTGAAATGCAACTCAATGAAAGCAGATCTTTCTTTGTGCATAATAATAATATAGGGAAGTGATTCATAAGAACTATGTCTAGTTATTCAAGGTAATAATGAGTTTCTAACAGAAAAAAATGTTAATGTTCTGTAGTTGTTCCATATAGCTTGTCACAATGCACGTACAGAATAAACAAAATAGCTTGAGTTCAGTGAAGTGATTTTATGCATGGAAAATGTGTCAAAATAAACCTGTTTCTTTTCCTACACAGTGCATCAGGATTTTGCCCCTGTAAAGCAGAAATAGCAAATACTCTGAAAGAAACTGGAATATTTCTTAGACCTGGTACTGCTTTCTGTTCCTCAAAAGCTGCACATTATATGCTTATAGCTGCAATTACTGCTTTACTTTGGAAAACCAAGAATATGAAGGGAGGTAATGAAGAATACGGCTATAATCCGACATGAATTCAGGGGGATTTCATTCTGAATAAACATGCAAAGGAGCTATTGCACAGTTCCAGTCTTTCACATCAATTTTGCTACAAGAACTCCATTCTAAGGTTCTGCGGTGGGGGTGGAGAGGTTTAAAGCCACTAAATTTCCTACAGATATGTGGATTGACAAAAGAACTGTTTCCCAGACCAAACATATATGACAGAGCATGAAGAGGACTGTGTATTGTATCTTATGAAGAGAACAATTGCTCATAATCCATAAGGATAGGCTTATCATAATTTGAGCTTTTATAAATACTGTACATGAATGCAAGGCCTGTCTTTCAGTTGAGTAACAGAAGCAACTACTACTTTATCTATAAGGACTAGATAGGCGGGATATAAATTAAATAAATAAATAAATAACCACATGCCCACACAACAAATCACAAACAATTGCTTTATTCTACAAGAATTCATAAACATAACAGACTATCCTGGAATTATGTCATTTCTATTTCAGAATTTCTATTGGTCCTTGAAGCAGTCTCTCATGTGAGGAATGTGATCCAAACAATTTCTTATTAGAGATGATAATTTTTTAAATATTTGAAGCAATCTGATCATAACAATATCCTAACAATTGTGAGACTAGACTTATTTCATGTGGAAACTACTTAGAGCTTCTGCTTTCCAGATATTTACTAGAATAGAATAATTAATAGAAAATCCATATTAGTCTATTTTCATTTTTAGAAAGAAAATTAAAATGCACCAAATGCTTTAATTTCACATAGTCAGTTTATAATGCAGAGGATTAATAAATCAAATTGTGATTGCATTAATTTCCTCCAAGAGGTAAATTCTAAGTATATTCTCTTATGAACTGTCTTTTGCTCTTAGTGATAATGAGAACCAGGCATGTCTCAGTAACCATAGGTAATAATTTTTTAAAATTTGAAGTTGCAGAATATGATGCAGAGTAGATAGAAACTCCCTAATTTGCGGTGGGTCCCCCCCCCTTTTATGTGGTCAGAAAAATAAAGGAAGACAATTAAGGACAATGATGCCTAGGCCACTAGAAACAAATACAGTATTGTAATTAAGTCTGAAAAAAAACCTGTCAAAAAGACATACCTATGTGTTTTAATTGTACAGTTTATTCGGTAAATACCTTATGAATGCTGGAATGGATCCAAATTATATACACAAAACTAGTCAACTGCGTAAAAGGGCATCAGCATCTGCTGCAATCTGCTTTGACCATTGCCTTACAACACACAGGAGGCCGTGTCTGTGCAATATTTTGAAATTAATTATTCTTCATCAGCCATTCTTGAGTGATTCCAGGACAGCTTTCCAAATTATATTCTCTTGACAGATAAACATAGAAAAGACTTTTCACCCCTAGGGTCAACCAGCATTTGAGAGATTTCATTTTGTGAAACAACTGCACCAAATTAGATTCCTTGCTTAAGGAGACACAGGAAAGAAGAAAATATTGGATGTCTCTTCCTTTGAAGCAGATAGATAATGTACACATCTTCCCACTCAACATGCCTTCAAAATGCATTTCTTCCCACACACCCACCATATCTATCATTTATGTTGCAAGTTGGGGTGACAATGCACTGTTCTATATAAAGGACTGAGAAGTACAGTATTGGGTGCTGAAATCCCAATGGACTTGTCAGCCTGGTTCAGACTAAGAATGAGTCTGAGGACCTGGCTACACTAGTTAAAAAAAACCCAGCCCCTATTTGAATTTTAAGTTTTAAATCAATGTAAAAAAAAAAGGTGAACACACAATGCATGTGGAAGCTCAGGTTACTTTGACAGGGAATCGTGATTTTCGAGCAGTAGCAGGTTTATTCACTCTTCCACCAGAGAGAGGGTCATTTATTTTAACTCAGATGTAGAATCAATTTAATTTCTAGCAGTTTGCTATAAGTAAACACCTCTGTCAGAATATTTTCCCCAAATTTGTTTTATCTGTCTTTTTGAATATAAGCAAAGAAGAACTGGACCGTGCAGGTGCGGAAAAGCAGCCACCGCTCCCACTGCCACAACTGCACCAGCAGCTAATGATACTGCTGCTCCAGGCTCAGATGGCACACATCTGTCTGAAGGGCTTGTCTTGCTGCTAAGACACATGCTGGAAGAACCACGTGTCGCCCTCCTTGCTACCCAAAGCCACAGCAGCAATAGCTTCCTTGTTTCCTTCTGCTCTTCCTCCTCTTCTTCCTTGAGGCGCCTTGCAAGAGTGATGCCCAAGCCTTGGCTGCCTCTTCCTTTTATTCTGTCTGCATGCCATCCCCCACACCCTTTTCTCTCTTTTCCCCCCCTGGGTTTAGGAGTCACTTGCTTACAGTCTACTTTAATTGCTGTATCACTTAGTCACTAAGAAAGGAATTCATTTGGGATTGTGGGAGTAAAGGAGGGAGAGAAGATGAAGAAGGGGAGGGGAGAAGGACAAGAAGGAAGAGAGGAAGCTTTGCCTGGTGTGTAGTTTTGAATCTTCCTTTCCCTGCCTCCCTTCTCCCTTAAAAGAAACACTGGAATAAAAATTGCCCCAAGGGAATGCACACAGCAATTAAAATATCATGTGACTGCCATGTGACTTTAAATTGCTTTTAATAACACTGCTGCATATTCTGAGGTATTTCAATTATGTAATCAGGCTGTAAGTGAGCTAAGGATCAGGTTTAATCCTGGTTTCTGTAAGAACAAAGGACAGCTCATTGAGTTTGAGTGGAACGCAGGACTGTGACCTGTTCTTGAAATGTCAGTTTTCACAATCTTCATCTTGTATGTAGAGGATCTACAGAAAGAGTACATGAGCCCAAAACTCACTATGACTGGCATATGTCCAGTTAGAAGTCCAAACTAGAGTAGGTCCACAGAATTAAATGTTGAACAATAAGTCAATATTTACATAAATACGACTTGAGTCAACTTATCTACCATAACTGGTCCTACCAACTGGATTCAGGCTACAAATTTAGTTGTTTATCTGAACTGGGCCATTTCGTGTTTCTAGAGAGTTAGAAACTGGATGATATTACTGTATCTATAAACTGAAAAAAGCAACACTTGTGAAGCCTCTCTGAAAAATGAAAAAGACCATAATAAGATTTACTTTGCATACCACAATTAAAAGGTACGGTACTTTCACACGAGGAACATCTAAGATTTACTTTGCATACCACAATTAAAACGTACTTTCACACAAGGAACATTTACATAGGGGCTAAAATGAACCTTGTATGCATACTGAAACAGCAAAACATTCCATAAGCATGCACTGGGAAGCTACACGTTTATGTGGGATTTTCAAGTTAATCCCCCACAAAAGGCATTTACTGTATATGTATGTTAATTGTGTGTATTATATAGTACTGTATTTGACTAGTAGAGGTTTAATCAATCAACTCTAATAAATGCTATTATTCAGGACATGCTATATCCTAATTGTTTCCAAGCTCAATTCAATGTAATTTTGATTTAAGAAGCCCTAAATAATACTTCGGGGCCAGGATGACTGAAAGATAATCTCCTCCGTAATGCTTGCCCAGAATTTAAGATCTTCAGCATCAGCACTGTTACTAATCACACCACATTGCAAACTTAGGGTAGTGAGCATGTATCCTTTTTTTTGTAACAATACACAATTGTGGAAATCCATTTAAGGGGAAATCAGCTTGGCTCCATCTGTACTGAGCTGCTGGCAAAAGTGGAGTGAGATCAGTTGTTCTCAGCTCCTAAAGTTTTAAAATTATTTTTAATCTGGTTTAAATAATACATTGTCCTTGACTATTTTACTGTATATTGCTTTAGGGCCTGGTGTGCAAAAAATAATTTACAAATGCTGTTAATACTGGTATGGAGATATGGATATGTACAAATATGATATTGATACCAAAGTGGGGTAGATTTAGTTTAACAAGCAGAAAAAGCTAGTTAGGCTGGAAAAGGTCAATCAAAGGGGATCCCTTACCATTGTTCCTTCTTGTCCTTTCTAAAAATTCTTTGTTTTCTTTGAGGAAGAACCAAGTGGAATTCATGAAGACTCAATCAAAATATATTAAGGATGCTCTTATTAAAACAAGATGAGCAGAGAGATCCAGAATTAGAAGACATATTATTCATCTTGGCTTAAACTACCCTTTTAAAGCCAAAATATTATTTCTACTGATAAATAAATACCAGGGCGGAATCTCCCATTAGACAAAGTCAGACACCTATGTCAGGCAGCAGAAACTAGAGGTGCAGTTTATGGTAGGAAGACACTTAATTAGCAGTTTTATGCAGTTATTATTTATTATTTTTCCCTACCACTTGACACTTAATTTTTTTTACTAGAAACCAAAACATTTTCAAATATTTTCAAATCAATTAAAATGTGCAGAAATTAGGTTATCTTTGTTTACCTCTCTGTACTGTATGGTGTTAGATGGCTGAAACACCAAGATGAGCTGCTTTAAGTCATGGGTAATTTTGAAACTCTCTTGGACTTTTTGAAAAGGCTCTAACAAAAAAATATTAAGGGTGGGTAACTTTTGAAGCCCTTGTTGGAAGAAATCTGTTCCAGCCAAGCAGTGGAAACAGTCCTCCATCCTAAATAATCCTATATTTTACTACTCTAATGCTTCTCTATCTGCTATGTTTCTATTATAAATTAGGGATTGGAAATAATTAGTTTCATTGACTTTTTAATATGAACTGACTTAATGCTTTATTTTTTTATCAATTTCTCCAAATTTTGTGAGGTAATTATCCAAATTTTAAAGTGTACAAAATACTGTAACATATTTGGGTACATTGTCCATAGTAATTGTTGTTACTATCCTTAATTACATTTATGTCCTGCCATTTCACTATAACAGAGTGTTCAAATGCAAACACAGGATGGTGAAAATTGAGACCTCCAGATATTGTCTCCCATCATTGTACAATTAGATATACTTTGATTTGGATTCCTGCATTGACCAGTGAGTTGGACTCAATGGCCTTATAGGCTCCTTCCAACTCTATGATTCTATCATCCCTGGCCATTATTTGTGCTGGCTAGATCTGTTAGGATTTGCAGTCCAACAACATATACAGGGCCACATATTCCCTACTATTACATTGGTGAAAACTGTGTTCAGCGATAAATACGCTAGGACTTAAACAACATTTTATGTTACCTTCTGTGTAGACCTCTTATGGGAAAAACCCAAGCCAATTCAGAAATGGTTATTAAAAATACCATATGCATGATTCAACAAATACAACAGTTACATAAAAGTAACCAGTGACATTGTCACAAGGTTGCACATTATTGCCTACTTTTAATTATGTAAAGTGTGGAGGCGATAGGATTCTTCTATTTTAAATTCGAAATAAAAAGTTCTGTGCTGCTCAGAGAACCATGCCACCCTTTTCTTCTCCAATGACAAAGCAGTCCAAAGAGCATAGCAGACAGTTCCCCAGTGTTTCTGCTGTGTCTAAAGAAGGTGCCAAAATGGAATCAATGGGAACATGTTCAGGATTAAGCTAGCCATCAAAACAACTTCGTGTTTTGAGAACACATAGGAAACCGTGCTGCAGAAGAACATGACTGTCGGACTAGTTTTGCGGATATGATGTATAGTGTTCCACTGTGAACTCAAGAATACATTCACAAATAACTAGAAAGTTCTAAATAAGTTATAGACCTACCTTATTTAATTTTATAAAATATTTCAGTCCAGCTTCCAGAGGATTAGTGTCACAATTCATCTGTGTAAAAAAGAGGCAATATTGTAATTAATCACTATGATAACCACTAGATGGCGTATGCCCTTCTTTTGAATATTTGTGTCATTCTCCAGTTATTTCTTTTTATATCCACTCTCTGCTTCATTAAAGAAAAACAATTTTAATGACATTTGTATAATACTGCTCCAAATATGAATTGCAAGAATATATTGCTTCAATATCTACTTTAAACAGAAAAGTTAACACAAATCTAGCTTGCAAAACAAAAAATGTCTAGAGGCATAGGCTACTGGAAGAGACAACAATTTTGAAGTGTCATAGGAGATTATTTTCTCATAATGTTTTTGAGGGCTATGAACAAATCCTCTTCTTCATTTACACATGAAATTTAAAAATTTTGAACAAGAACAGCTATCCCCATCATTACAGAGAATTTATAAATCACATGGTCTTAAATGCAATGAATGCACATTTTGTCTGAAACATCCTGTGACAAACAAAGATATATTATGCATGTTTACATAACACAGAAATGAATTTGAAAATAACGGCTGTGATCCTAGACAAAGCTATCAAAAAGGAGGTCTGATTGATTTAATAGTTCATGTTGTTTTCCCTGAACAGTCTTAGCTCTTCAAGGAGCTTTCTAAACATGTTTTTTCAGGTGTCAGTTGAGTTAGTCTACTGCAGCAGAAACAGGAAAGAGTCCTGTGGCACCCTTAAGAGTAACAAGTTTTATTCAGCATAAACTTTCATAGACTGCAGCTTACTTGCATCTGAAGAAGTGGGCAGCAGCCACAAAACCTTATGCTGAATAAAACTTTTTAAGTCTAGAAAGTGCCACAAGATTCCCTGCTGTACTAGCTAAAAGTGGAATTTGGGAACAAGTTCCACAAGTCTTAGTAACTGAAACCAATTTATAATGAAACAATACATGATTTAATGATCAGAACCTGCTTTTGTTAATAACGCCACCAAGATGTATCACTACAACTTGTGAACAGAACTCTCAAAATTCTGCAGTGTACAGGTGAGAAGAGCAACAGGCTATTAAAAAGGAAGGTTTAATAACAGAAATGTAAAGGACTATCCTGTTTCTTTCAAACAGAAGGATGAAGCATTATAATAACCGTTTTCTCTCTCCCTATTTTACTATACAAAGCATTGAAAACAGACATTCATTTACAGCGTTTAAGTACAAGTTAAGGATGTAACAAATATTCAGAATCTTCTCATCCTTGATGAAAAAGAGTGCCTTGAGTAGGGCTGTTTTCGTGAGCAGTAGCATTAGAAAAAATTGTTTGCAAATAAAATTATCCTGCATTTTTAAAAACCTGACTTTCCCCCCCAAAATACATGTACTTTACATAAAATAAAATTTTACACTTTTTGTAAAAATATCCCTGAATATTGAAATGCACAAAAACTCTTGCAATCTCATCCAAAATGGAGAAAACTCTGAGGATCTACTTCCGGAGTATATAACTATTGGGAACTAATACACAAATAATGCAAAAAAGAAGTGATAACAAAATGATTTGTTTCAAACCTCTGCTCCCCAGGCTCGAAAAGCTTTTTCTATCCTTAATGTATTCATTGCATACATTCCAAAGTTGTCGATTCCTTCTTCCTGCCCTGCCTCCATTATGACAGAATATAAAGCTGCAGAATCTTCTCGCTTGTGGTACAACTCCCAGCCCAGTTCACCTATTGCAAACCAAAGATTGGCATCTTAATCAAGTCCAGAGCTAAATCATGGTCACTACAATTTAAAAGTTTAAACCAAGATTTAAATGCTTTCCCCCTCACAGCTGGATCACCTGAAGCCATCAATGCCTTTTATAAAGACCAGTGAATTCCAAGATTGATAGTTTCCGTATTACTTACCTGTATAGGATATTCTAATTGCAGTAACTGGAATATCAGCAATTTTTAAATGTCTGCAGACTAGAAAATTAAATGAATCATCACTGAGATCATCTGTTGTTAATTTCTGGAGAACTTTCCGTGCATATGGACCAGCTATGCCTAATACTCCAATTTCTTCAGTAATATTGTTGATTTCCACATTATATTGTCCTCTAATTGCCTCCTCTTCAATCCACCTGAATATTTAAGACAATACTTTATTACTCCAAAACAAAGAAGAGTTTTTGAAAAAAATTTATAACTATTCATATGCGCACATGCACACACACACAAGATTATTTGTTTACAGTATGTGAAGATTCTCAGCCATTGAGACAAAGTTATCTGGAAGTTGAGTCACAACAACTGGACTGCTTTCTTAATAGGTTGAAACGTTTCTCCACCCCTGTTGAGTGAGGGATTGTCTATAAGCACATGTATGGTTTTCTCCCCAGTCCTTTGTCCATCTAACGAGCCTATTCAGAACAGGGGGAAGTGAAACCAATGTGGAGGCTATATCAGGGGTCTCCTACCAACTCGCCTAAGACTGAAGAAGCTACTGTACTTGGAGAAGTAGCAAAATGTTTCAGCCTAATAAAAAGTCAAGTTGCCATGACTCATCTTCCAGATTATTCTTTCTTGTGTTTATATTATATCTAATAATAACAGAAACATACAGTGGACCCTTGACTTACAGACGGCTTGACTTACAGACTTTTTGAGTTACAGACTTCTCTGGCCGCAAAATTTAGGTTTGACTTGCAGACTGAGATTTGACTTTATATTATATCTAATAATAACAGAAACATATTATTAGAAAAAAATCTGTTTTTCTCTCTGTGTATCTTGTACTGTACCACGGACAAACTATGGGACAGATTTTCTCCAGACTAGGAAGGTAGATTTGGGATCATCTGACTTGACACTCAGAGTATGCACCTTGCCAAAATTAAAAATTAAATAATAAAAAATAAATCAATTTGTGTGCACTTGAACATTTGTTTAAATAACTTGATGGATCTTCACAAAATCTGCAGGATACCTCCAGGGAGGTCTGAATTCAAATATAGCCTATGTGATATAGAGATCTTTGGAAGTAGGGCAATTATTTTTTTTGTTTCCTCAGAGTCATGTGGTAGTGTGAGACAGAGGGTGGGAGGGATATCCCACTCGCCGGAGAGCCGTTCCGCCTCAACAGCAAAGCTAATGAAGTGGACTCCAAACCTGCACCAAAGCCTACAGCAAGACTTCAGCAAGAGACAGAGGAGCTGACGGAAGACATGCAGAAAGTGACAATGGAGGAAGTTCAGGGAGAAAAGGTGGGAAGAGAGAGAGAAAAGAGGGTGGAGTTTGAAGAAGGAATGGGAGAGGTAGAGAGAAAAGAAAGAGGGTGGAGTTTGAAGCAGGAATGGGAGAGGTAGAGAGAAAAAAGGAGCAGTTACTGCCTGGTTGGGAATAGGTATGGATGCAGGATCTCTGGATGGGATTATGGGAAAGATTAAGAGTGCCCAAGGAGGAGGCAGGTTATAGAAGGAGAGCAGAGATTCCACCCAAACCCTCTTATTGGGGGAGAAGCTGACGAGATTCCACCCAGACCCTCTTATTGGGGGAGAAGCTGAGATGAGAAAGTGGAGAAGGAGATTGAGAGAGGACAAAGAAATAGTTGAAAGAGAAAGGAGAGGAAGACTGGAATGGAGAGCAAGGGAGATGAAGAGACGGAGTTACAGGGAGGATCCTGGGAGAGCCAAGACCCCAAGAGAGAGATCCTGTGGGATGATGACCTGGATGACGAGACCTTGTCCCTGTTGAAAGGCCTGACAGGGCAGACCATAAGAGACTGGGTCCCCACTGATCTACCAGGACCATGGAACAATAGTTATGGAAACCTGTTCTTGTTTGAAGATTGGAAACCCCTTCTGGACCCATTGGCAGAAGCAGAAAAGACTCACAATCATGTTCCAGGCACTTGTTTATTGTTAAATGCACCAATAAATCTTTCACCTGTTTTGAAGCAACAAAAATCTACTGATTTCTTTGAACCAAACATGGAACCAAAAGTCAAACCCTCACATGTATATAATTTAAAAGATTTTAGCAAGTATAGTTCAGAAACGTTTATTTTGAATTATGCTGTGATTTTACAGATAGGGGATAGATTCCAAACGTTCATTAATTGGGAGCCATGATGGCTGGAGGCTTATGGAATTTGTGCTCCTTGGATAAATCCAATGAGTACCAAAATGAAGACAGAAAGAAAGAGACAAATTCAAAAGAAAGTCCCATCATAAATGTCACATGTTGTCAACATCACCACCACCATCATTGCTACTGTACTTTTTAGAGTAAATGCCTCATAATATAAAAAGGCACAGGCTATTTTCCTGCGCAAGTAGTTCCTCCACCATTCCTACCACTACAAATGGTTTTAAAACCGTGAGTAGTTAAAATATATTCAAACCTTAAGTCATGAAGCTCTGATCCAGACCCAGTGATTAGCAAAAACTCCCCTGGTTTCAGATGTGAGACTGTGAGCTCAGCATAGACTCGACCTCTTGGGGTTAGCATATGACTTATGTTTGTAAAACCTACCTATATAAGGGGGAAAAGAGTAAAAATTATAACACTGCATTATTAGCTTCAAATGTGTAAAATAAACAAAGTTCTTTCTATGGGATACAAACTGTGAACCGGAACAGAGTTAAGACATGCCTTACACCCCACTGAAGTCTATGAGACTTCTGGGGCCACAAACTGTTGTCCTGTTTTTCTAATAAGAGCTCTTACTACATAGAATTAATAAGCTTCTAGATCAGCAATTCATGTGTATACTGTTTTTTTAAAAGAAAGAACAGAGCTAAATACTACACTTGCCTTAGCCTATGCAAACTCTCTAGTGAGGGATGGAAAAAATTATGCTCCTCTCCAACATACACTTAATTTGGATCTCATTGCTCATCCATGATTTGGAGGTAATGCTTATATGAGACTAGCATGCATAAATGCTTATTTGTATAGATTTAATGAAGCAGTCTGTACTCCATTGCATTCTGAATAAAATAGGCAAAACATATAGGACACAGCCAACAGGTTGTCCCATTTGTGGCCATGAAATGGTCCTAAGGATAGGCCAGATTAATCCATAAAGTGTGAATGAAAATCAACCAAACTTTTAAGCAATTTAGACAAAATGCAAGCACACAATTAACTGTTTTTAAAGGCAACACTGGGACTCAATCCAGATAATTTGTGATTATATCTAACTTTTAAATAGTCACAGAATTGATAATTATAAGATTGGCATTTCACCTATTTTCCCTTTTAGAGTCAACACACATGGAAATTCAGATGAAAAGAGCTAGAAACTAAAAGTCTTTCCCAGACTGAACAGAATCTGATCTCAGACTAACATAAGTATTACATTTCTGCTTACCTTGGGGATCGCATTTGCAAATAGATGATCCAAAAGTTTAAGAGAAGCACTGCCTTTGATGCTAAACTTGCCAAATGGAGTAAGATCAATCACACCCACTTTTTCCATCACCTGTTTATATTCACGACCCACAGGTTCAAACCAGTTTGTGCGTTGAAAATTAGGCCTGGAAACAGAATGTTAAGGTGCATTTTCAGAGGGGGAAACCAAGAACACCTTGCTGAGTAGTTTTCAGGTTAGTTTTAAACAACTCACTGAGCATGATACTATCTTTACATGGTCTTCACCTGCCACACTTTTATTTAATCCTTCTTCCCTTTATCTGAAATAATTTGTAACACATCAGTGTTAGGCATACCTAGCTTGGTACCTGTATCAATTACTTTCTGTAGCACAACAATAGCTAATATCTAACTCAATTACAAATCTAGATCTACAAAAACAAATGAGTCCTTATTTTAAGTTACAAGCAAAATCTTTTCCTCTGTAAGTTGCCATTGGTTCTAGGCCATAACATATGATGGAGAATAAAGGTACAATCCTGTAACCACTGTTACGATGCAACTATGAGGGCAATACCCCTCTCACCAGGCATGTGAATGCTTACACAATTGCTTACTCCCATTAAATGGTAAGGATGCAACCTTGTACATATCTTTAGGAATGACAATATTTGCAAACTGCCTGCCACACAAGTCACACACAGTCTCTTCATAAGTGCACACATTACAGATCGAAAAACATATAGTAGGGTAATGTATATCATAGTGGCAGTAGCAACAACAATGAAATAACATCAAGTAGATTTGGGCTTATTGGTGACTCCTTTCAAGGTTTTCTAGGCACAGAGTATTCAGAAGTGAAAGTGAGTGAAAGAAGAAAAATGTTTGCTCATATTTCTGTGATGCGCAGAAAAGCAGCATACAGAACCATCAGCTGCCCTTTACAATTGAATAAAATTCTTGGGAGAAAGCATTGGTTTACTTATTGGCCACATCAGACTGAAATGAACTTCAGTCAAGGTTGGGCCAGGACATTCTGCTGCTTAAGGCAAATGACAATGTAGCACCTGAGGCATCCCATATACAAATGGAGTCTGGACTGCCAGCTGAAATGTATTTCAATATTTTTGATGGTACCATATACTTAAAGTAGCAGACCTGTTTAGGGGACCAAGGACAAGTTGTGTGGCATACACAGCCACATAGGTTGCCAACATATCTGAAGCCACAATCTTGACTTTCAATATCCTGAATGTAATTGATGCAGTTACCAAAACAGTTTGTTTTAGTGCTTCATTGCAGATGCCCATATGGACACAGAAACCAGAGTGATCAGAAAAACAAAACCCCAGCTGAACAATTCTCACAGTTGCTGTTCCATATCATACCCTTCAGATTTCTGCATGCACCTTCTGGCTGACCTTTCCCTCCCACAACAACTTTGCAAGAAGAAGAAAAGACCTTAAAGGATCACAGATCATTCTGCTGACAGAATAACCCTCTAGAGAGTAAGTGCATAATACTCTTTCGCCTTACATGATTTTTGCAGACTAGGTTATGGGAGGCCTAGGTTCATATTCCTATTCAGCCAGACACTGGGATCCCAAGGGAGCATTGTGACCTGGTGGTGGTGGGAGGGTAGGACATTTTTAATTTCCAAAAAATAATGGTTGTTGGTGACATCATTAGCCTTATGTGGTATAACTTCTGTGAATAGAATTTTCAGCCATTGAAAACAAAGTAATATTTTTCATGCCTAACATCAACTGGTTTGAACCTCTAGAAAGAAGAAACTAATGCTTTAAAAGTTTTACTCCTAGTTGCCTCTAAACAAACCATGTTGCCATTCAGAATCCCTAAGAAAGCTTTTCAGTGACTGGGAAAGTTAGTAAGGGAGAAGGCCCTTAAGTGTCCTTGGTCTCAAGTTTGTTACAGCTTTAGATAACAGGCTCAGTGCTTTTAAAAGGCAGACTCAGTGTTTTTAAATGTAAACTTGATTCAATGGCAAATAAGTAATGAGTATCGTTCCCCCCCCCAATAGAAGTGATTCACCGTAGAAAGACATGGCTTTTGATAATTCTGCACTGTCTGTAACTTCTGGAGTCCAGACCAACTTTATGTAGGCATCTCCAACAACTGCAGAAATCCAGTTTTTAGGTAGTGCCTATGACCAACCAGCTAGTACACTATGATCAACCATGGCTTGTCCATGAGAGGCTGTAGCTGCCACACCAATTAAAACTGGTGAAAAGAATGTAAGGGCATAGCTACATTTTTTGAATTAGATCGCTTTTTCTAAACACATGGAGATCGCTCCTGAAGCTTCTATAGTTGGAATCTAGTTAACCACAAGTTAGTGTTAGATTGCTCTCTTTGGTCCATTGGGTGACAATGTGTCCCTCCCCTTCTCACCCCCCACCTCCTGCCTTCTCTTTTGCATTAGTGGATGGCTATTAATGCTGGATTTTTATGCACACAAAGAGAATGGCTATGTTTCAGCCCTGCGTTTCTCCTTTTCTTCTTCTTTTTAATTAATTTTTGGTAAGTGGCGTAGCACTTAAGTGATGCAGTTCAATAGTAGAAAAGTATTTTTTTTAAATAAAAATGTGAAATAAAAATAAAAATACATTTTTTCAATTCAAAATAAGACACAGGTTACCATCTAGTCATGGCCAGACCACACTCACCTCAATACATCATCTCTAACGTGTAAGAACAGCCCCCCAACTCCATAATAGAACAATCTAGATGACAGCCCAGCAAGAAAAGTGTTTTCGGACCAATCCTAATAGTTCCAAATAAACAGTAGGCTCCAATCCCAGACCAGTCTAGGACAAACTAGTCTCTATTAGGGACGGGTTGGAACCTCTAAAAAGAACATTGTATAGTCAACATTTTTAGAGTAATCCCAAACATTGTAACAGGGGCTGCAGAGCAGGATATACTCCTGTGTAGCTATCTTCCAAGTTTCTATAAGAAAAGTGGATCCAGGAACACCACTGTATAAGTACAAATCTGCTATTTTAGAGAGAATTACTCTTGCTGCACAACAAACAAATAAAGAGAAATAAACAATCAAACATTTAACATTGATTTACTTGTATCCAGTCTCATCTCCAGGTTTGTAGAACCAATGAGGTTGCTCCCATCCTGCATGGAATCCCATGGAGCATTTAGATGCAAGGACTTCATAAAGCCCACTGACTCGTTCTGTAGGTCTTCCAGCAAAATTTTCTTCTTTAGGATAACCAACTAAATAAAAAAAAAAAAACACCAAACATGAAAAGCAATCACACTGTGTATGTGTACAAAATTATTTTTCATGTACCTAAAAGTAGTACGTCTTTACCATACATCTTTGAAAATGGCGGAGATGAATTAAAAAAGTTGGCACTTATACAGTAATATGAAATGGTTAATTGCTTAAGCAAACAATGTGGAAAAGCATTCTCCTTTAGTGTAAAAGAACAAGTGAAATGAGTCAAATGCCAATTTTATTTTCTATTTATATTGGGAGAAATTATATGCAACTATCTTACCAATGTTATTAAATCCATAAGATTCTCGTGCTTTTGCTTCTGTGTAGTCTGTACTTGTCCATTTTCCATACCTATTTGGATCTAATTCTATTAGATCAAAAGGAGGTTCCCCATCAAGTATCCAGTCACTGAGATACTTTCCAATGCCACCAGCATGGATGATGCCATATCTGAGAGGAAAAAAAATCAGTACTTCTCAATATTCCTATACAAGAAACAGCTCAGCACACAACTGGTTTTTTATGATTCTGTTACTTATTGGCAAGTTCAGTTAAATATGTAACACTACAGCAGGCTTAGTTTTGCCTAATGTGAGGCTCACAGCAAACTAGCAGAGGTCAACTCAGAACACATCTGGAAATGTGGACATGATTCCCAAATAAAAAAACTGGTTCTGGGCTGCTTCATACAGGATGAAATCTCCAACATATAAGTCAAACTTCTACATAGAAAATGTAATAAGCTGTAACTGTATTTTGTCATATGTGACAAAACTACTATGTGTCTATGTCCCGTGTATTCATATAGTAACAAGATACTGTACTACTAACTGCAGCTTCTCACTACATGTACACAATGATAAATAGACACATATACAGTACATACACATGACATGCTGGGTACCTGCTGGGTACCTCCAAAGAAATGCAGCATGTCTTCTGCATAGGGAACACACCTTGTATGGAGAATTCTTCAAAGGATGGTCACTGGAGACATATGGTACTATCTCTTTGTCTTTTTGTTTTTGTTCCTTCTCTGTAAATAAGGGAAAGCTTTGACCTCCTTATAATGGCTGTGAATGTGAATGAGATTTCAAAAATTGATAGTTCTATCCTGACTCATATCATAATTGAAGATAATAAGAATAATTTTGGACGATGGCCAGTCCAGATTTAAATCAAAGATTACATGAATAAAGAAAGTGAGCAAATTTATCTAGATCCAGGAATATTTATTTTGAATCAAATCTATCTTCTTCTATTTTCTTTTAGCAATGATCACATTGGATAATCTGGCTTTGGGGTGAGCAAACAATACAATCTAATGAAAGCATATGTTGATCAGTCAGTTACAGTGGGAAGAATATACAGCACATTGACACATTGATACATGTGTCAACATCATCAGGAGAGGCTGATCTCTTGGTCCGACCACTTTCACTGGTGCATTTGATGGGAACGCAGAAGAGGACCTTCTTTGTTGCTGCTCCCTGACTCTGGAACTCCCTCTCACAGGAGGCCAGGCTGGCCCCATCTTTGCTGTCCTTCCACAAACAGGTAAAGACCTTTCTCTTCAGACAAGCTTTCCTTTAGTGAATGGCTGCCTGAGTGAGGTTTTTAATTGGATTAATGTGCCTTACTGCTTTGAATGTGTTTTTGCTGTTACTTTTGTTTACCATCTTTCAGTGTGGTATCTGTATCGTCCTTTTTCATAATTGTATATTTACTGTTTTTAGCATTAAACATTGTCTTTTAACGATGTAAGCTACCTTAAGTCATTTTTAAGGAGATAGCTGGAGAAAAATGTTTTAAATAAAATAAAATAAATATATCACCATATCAAACAATGTGTTTGTTTAGACATAACACTTAATTATGGTTTGTATGGTTCACATATTTGGTTGTGTAGCCAGAGACTGGGAGTTTCATCCTCACTGTGACTCCTGGAAGAAGAGCCAGCCTGTGTAATCATGGGCAAGCTGCACAGTCCAAGGCTATCACTAGAAGAAGGGAATGGTAAACCACTTCTGTGTATTCGCTACCTAGAAAACTCCAGAAAATGTCACTGTGAGTCAGATTTGACTCAAGAGCATACAGTTGTTATTATGTAAGCCTGTAACATCCCCCAAACGTACATGCTGCTTGCTTGCTAGCTTGCTTGTTTAATCTGGCTCCAAGGTCACTCTTGGCAGTTCCCAACAAGACAAGACAATAATAACAACCTTAAATAATAACTACATAGACATCACATTACTAAAAAGAGCAATAAACATGTACTAATCATTAAAATTAAAAAATGTAACAAATGTTCCGTGTAAAGATAACTCTCTCCCTCATTGGTTTGCAGCAAAGTTTCATAGTTTGGGAAGCCACACCTTGATCTACCCTTAAGCAGAGTGATGCAGTTGTTTCAAGACACAGACTTTAGGTGTTATGAGAGGGTGGCAAATTTTAGTTATTTAATTTGTTATCATTGCACTTTGACTGCCAGGGATAGAAAGAGACTTTCAGCTTCATGTGTCAAGATAATGAGGCTGGTACTACGCTCTTTGACTGGGAACTGTAATTTACCATGTGTTGTTCCACCAAGGAAGGAAAATGTCTTGGCCCAACTCTAGGGGTTTCCTTGTTTGACAAAGATTGCTTTTATCTTTATTTCTAATATGGGGTTGCAGAGCAACCACAAACTAACCTATGACACTGACATTATGTCTGAAGCAATATGTCAAGACCTAGAAGGGAAAGAACAAGCTTAAAGCCTAGCAAAACGTTTACCACTGCTCCCAGTTCCCAGCTTCCTCACAAGTGTAAAACTGTCTTAAATATATTTTGAACTTGCTATTTTTGAAATATGAAACCTATAGGATATCCTGAGAATCAAAGGAAGCATGGGACAACTCAAGCAGACACTGTTTGCTACCAGATTTTTAAACAGAGAAGCATCACAAGGTAGAAGTACTTAGGGGGCAATATTCTGAAGTAAAAACTATTTTTAAAAAAGTTGAAAGGCAATATTTGAGCATGTGGCCTTGTGACTCTAAGGTCCTTGCTCACAAAGAATGGCAGCTTTTCCAAAACAATGCTTAGAAACACAGAATTTAGCATAATTTAAAAGCCTAAGTTTTGCCTAAAGCTACTAATAATTAGGGACGTGGTGGCGCTGCAGGTTAAACCACAGAAGCTTCTGTGTTGCAAGGTCAGAAGACCAAGCAGTCGTAAGATCGAATCCACACGACAGAGTGAGCTCCCGTCGCTTGTCCCAGCTCCTGCCAACCTAGCAGTTCGAAAGCATGTAAATGTGAATAGATAAATAGGTACCACCACAGTGGGAAGATAACAGCGTTCCATGTCTAGTCGTGCTGGCCACATGTCTACGGACAAATGCTGTCTACAGACAAACTCTCTATGGACAAACTGTCTACAGCTTGGAAACAGGGATGAGCACCATGCCCTAGAGTTGGACATGACTGGACTGTCAAGGGGAACCTTTACCTTTACTAATAATTACCAAATTAAGAATTAGTACACAAACTTCAAATTCTTCCAAAAGCAACAGACAGACAAGCATCTTATTTAGGAGATAAATTTACTTACCCAAAACCAACAGCCACCCAATAATTTTGAACACCCTGATGTGGTCCCACCATAGGCAATATATCTGGAGAATATGTTATGGGACCTGCAACTACATTGATTATGTTTGCTTGCTTCAGGACTGGAACCATTTCCATAGCAGCTTCAACATGATCCATTATTCGGTCCAAATCTGATTCAAACAGCTCCTTCCCAAAACCTAGAAAAATGTTTTAATTTGTTATGTAATTTTAGAAACAGCTTAATAAATATCTAAGTATATGTACCAGAATAAATGCTTCATGCAGAAAACACCTATTTGCCCTCTAATAAAATAAAAAATGAAAGCAAAGCGATTAGATAGGATTATTTTTCAGTAAAATACCAGAAAGGGCCTTTGTTCTTCTACATAATTATTACCCACAATATCTACTAAAAGTACAAAGCAGTCAATGGCTACAATATGCATGATTTTTCCAAAAAAATCACCTGGTGGGACTCCATGTGCTACCCAGGATTTCTGAAGTTTCATTTTTTCTTGGCTTTCATATGGGCCAAACAATAGCCCATCTCTTTCTTGTCTCAGATAATATGAACCTTCCAAGTCACGAAGGACAGGCAGTTCCTTTTCTAGGGCTTTTACTTCAGGAATAGATGCAGTGACAACATATTGATGATGAACAGGTATGAGTGGGTGTTGCAATCCGACCATTTTGCCTATTTCACAAGCCCAGAAACCTAGAACACACAAGGTA